AAATGATATATTGTAGGGTAGAATATTATGCTACATGAATTAAACTAGTTCCCAATTAGTTGGAGCATTTCCCGCAAAGTTTTGTTGAATGAAGAAGGGGAAGATATAAGAAGATTAGTGTAACAATAATTTGTATAACCAAAACTGATTTAAGAGAACCATCAGAGGCTACTCATCAGGGACATTCTTGTTAGGGACTCGTAAGTATGAAGAAAAATAAGAATGCTTGCAAGGTGGTTAAATGTTTATCTTGGTGGAGAGAAGGGGGAAGTACCTGGAGAGAGCAGTAAAGAAAAAAAGAGAATTGTCCTTTCAGTTCAGTTCAGTCGCTCAGTCATGTCCTACTCTTTGTGAACCCATGAATCGCAGCACACCAGGCCTCCCTGTCCATCACAAACTCCCGGAGTCTACCCAAACCCATGCCCATCAAGTCAGTGATGCCATCCAACCATTTCATCCTCTGTCGTCCCTTTCTCCTCCTGCCCCCAATCCGTCCCAGCATCAGGGTCTTTTCCAATGAGTCAGCTCTTCGCATGAGGTGGCCAAAGTACTAGAGTTTCAGCTTCAGCATCAGTCCTTCCAATGAACACCCAGGACTGGTCTCCTTTAGGATGGACTGGTTGGATCTCCTTGCAGTCCAAGGGACTCTCAAGAGTCTTCTCCAACACCACAGGTCAAAAGCATCAATTCTTCGGCGCTCAGCTTTCTTCACAGTCCAACTCTCACATCCATACATGACCACTGGAAAAACCATAGCCTTGACCAGATGGACCTTTGTTGGCAAAGTAACGTCTCTGCTTTTTAATATGCCATCTAGGTTGGTCATAACTTTCCTTCCAAGGAGTAAGCATCTTTTAATTTCATGGCTGCAGTCACCATCTGCAGTGATTTTGGAGCCCCCCAAAATAAAATCTGACACTGTTTCCACTGTCTCCCCGTCTATTTCCCATGAGGTGATGGGACCAGATGCCATGATCTTAGTTTTCTGAATGTTGAGCTTTAAGCCAGCTTTTTCACTCTCGTCTTTCACTTTCATCAAGATGCTTTTTAGTTCCTCTTCACTTTCTGCCATAAGGGTGGTGTCATCTGCATATCTGAGGTTATTGATATTTCTCCCGGCAATCTTGATTCCAGCTTGTGCTTCATCCAGCCCAGCATTTTTCATGATGTACTCTGCATATAAGTTAAATAAGCAGGGTGACAATATACAGCCTTGACATAACTCCTTTTCCTATTGGGAACCAGTCTGTTGTTCCATGTCCAGTTCTAACTGTTGCTTCCTGACCTGCATACAGGTTTCTCAAGAGGCAGGTCAGGTGATCTGGTATTCCCATCTCTTTCAGAATTTTCCAGCTTATTGTGATCCACACAGTCAAAGGCTTTGGCGTAGTCAATAAAGCAGAAATAGATGTTTTTCTGGAACTCTCTTGCTTTTTCGGTGATCCAGCGGATATTGGCAGTTTGATCTCTGGTTCCTCTGCCTTTTCTAAAACCTTTAGTTGACCCTAAAAACCTGTCTGATCACATCTATTCATTATCTGTAAAATTATGTTAAATGTATGTTTAAAGATACACAGTAAATATTTAAAATAATCTTTTTCCAAAAGTGATGTATGTTTGTGAATACCTCAACATATCCGTGTGAAGTCTGTAGAGACTCTTAGGAGAAAAAGAAGTGTAGTAGAATACCACAAAACTGAACTAGTGGGAAATTTATTTGCCTATAAAATTGGGGTAGTCTCTGTGGTTGTTTTGTACGATTCTTCAGGGACCTTTGCACTCACCTTTGATTTGTCACTCTTGGTGCTGCCTTTGTGTTCTGGCTCATTGCATGATGGCTAAATTAAAATCTAAACACAACAGAGTTCAGTGGAAGAAGGCTGGTCTCTCAGGATTTCTGTCACAGGTTGGGTTTCTTAAAAGCATTTGCTGATATGAAATTTGAGGTACAAGTTAGGTATAACATCTAGGTGAGAAAGGGTCAGGAAGCAGAACTGGGCAAAGGAAGAAGTTGAGTTTCAATGCAGGCCTGACTAAAGAGAGCTCTGGAGTAATGATTGCTTGCCAGAGTTGTCCTGTGTTAAATTGAAAAATGCCCAGCCTTTCTGTCCATTCTAGGATGGACTGTACTTGGAAGGGCATGACCTGAGGTAAGGCAACTCCTGATGGAACTGACATCTAGATGCTGTCTGTGGACCACAATCACTTCTGCAGCTGGCAACAAGTCTTTTCTTGAAGAGGAGGTCTAGGTGGCATAGCTTCCATCTACCACACTATCTTTCGTAGGAATGGGGAAATATTTCCTAGAAACCTTCCATCAGACTTGCCCTCACATCTAAGATTAGATTATATCCTGTGACCCAAATAATAGCCTTTCTCCTCTTCAGTAAAGAGTCCTGATTTTTCACTGAGTATATACATGGTCATCTGGGATAATGGCTCTATTTCTCAGCCTCCCTGTACATTTAGGTATGTCTTAAGTTTTGGCTAGGGGGTAAGTTGAATGGTCATTTTTTACTTAGAGGCAAGGGGGTATGTACCTTGTTTCCTTGCAACTTCTTCCTGCTGGGTAGAATAAGGAGATAATAACTGGAGTTTGTGCAGCCATCTTGGATTATGAGATGGAAGCACATGTTGAGGAGGACAAGAGCAACAAGATAGACGGTCCCTAATGATCATGGAAATGCTTTGTGTGCTCCGGGTTGCTTACGTTTGGGCTCTATATCTTGGTTAAAGTCATAACTATTTAGGTTTTTCTATGAATTACATTAGAACTTAACTGATACACATTTCTAATTGGCACAAGGGTGTTGCGGTTCTTAATGGACCGGGACCTGGCAGTCTGGAGTCAATGATAAGAAAGTGAAAGAAAGAGAGCCAAAGGGAGGGAGAGAGAGAGAGAGAGAAAAAAAGAAAGACACGGGGACCCAAGCTCTGATGGAGCAAAGGTGCTTTAATGATTTTTCTGTGAGTATATATAGGCTGTAGTACAAGAAATTTCTTTCGATAATGATAAAGATTAGAAAACCAAACGTACAGTAACTGTTACCAAGGAACAAAGGATAATAATGATCACAAGGTCAGGAGACAATCCACATCTCAAGAAAGGGGGCGAGACTAAGCCGTTTTGTCATAAAGAGAATGTTTTACTAAAGGAGACCCAAGCCTGTCTCACACAATGACCTCAGTCCTGAGAGCTGCGTGCAGTTCTACTCGCTTCTGGCAGAAGCTGATAAGGAACAGAGGATTTATGAGAAATAGCACATAGGAATATGCCCATCAAACATTCCCTGACACGAGGGCACAGGAAATCATGATCATGATTGGCTTAGACTAACATTTTGGGAATGGGATGGATGTTGCGGAATAAGACACAGAGACATTTATATCAGGCAAGTACAGCAAGAGAGTGCGAAGAAGTCGAGAGATTTTTCAGGGGATGATATTTGTGATGGACCCAGGAATCATACCTAGGTAAGTTGGAAAGTGGAATGTGTGAGTGATGAACGTGAAGAGTGATCGTTTGTGGATTGGAGGTCTCTGGGGCTGGAGATTGACTGGAGAGGGGGAACTAGGCTAAATGAACTACAGAAAGCAGAGATGGCCATCAGAGTGTAGGTCACCTTAAATGGAGATTTTGGTGGTAGAGCTTTTACTCCTAATAGCAGGTCTGAAAAGAGTTGGTAACTAAAGTAGGGTAGAGGAAAAGATTGTTAATGGTGAAGTTAAAATACAGAGTTGCTGGGCTTTGGGTGAAATATCTTTATTGTGGTTGAGTGGAGGGTAGTGAAGTAGATGCTGATATTTTGAGCAGGTGAAGTGGAGTAATTGGTGTGTCAGTAGGTGACCCAGAAAGTAAGGAAGGCAGATCCAGAAGAGAGCATCTGTTTCAGAAAAGCTGACATTGTTGATGGAATAGGGAGGAAAAGTGATCTGGAAACAGCAATTAGGGAAGATAGCATCCTTCTTATATGTTAAAATTTTCTGTATAGCAAAAGATAGTAGACACAAAGTATAAAGAAAAAATAAACTGGGGACATATATTTATAGTACATTTACCATACAAATGGGAGCTCCTTGATATAAAAAGAGCTCCTAAACTTGATGCAAGGAGTGAACTTATTGGGAAAGACCTTGATGCTGGGAAAGATTGAGCGTAAGAGGAAAAGGGGGTGACAGAGAATGAGATAATTGGGTGGTAACATTGGATCAATGGACATGAGTTTGAGCAAACTCAGGGAGATAGTGAAGAACAGAGAAGCCTGGCATGCTGCAGTTCCTGTTGTTGCAAAGAGTCAGTCACAACTTAGTGACTGAACAACAACGACAGCAACTTGGTAGCAAAATAGGTAAAGAATATGGAATCTTAATTTGCAAAGGAGAAAGTGCAGATGATCAAAACATATAAGAAAATACTCATATGTTAGCGTTAGTACCAGTAAAATTATTAATGAGATACTAGGATGTGCCTATCATTGGCAAGACCTAAAAATATTGATAAACTTCAAGCTTGGCATGTATGTGGGGAGTAGGTGCTAATGTATACTGCTAATGGAATGCAGTGGATTGCCACTTCAGCTGTTGGGTGTTGTGGATTGATGTGCTTGCCCATCACAATTATGCTGGACACAGCATGTTTATCGTATTAACACATTTTTCTTGTAATGATAACTGTGTGGCCTTGTTTTTTAAAAACCAACTTATAAGGAACTTCTTGTGGCCATTTTTATAGTGCAAAATGTGATTTTCCCATCTTAGCTAGAAAAATTTTGGTGTTTTTGTTCATTCCTTTTGGTTTGCATATGTTTGTATCCCCTTAAGTATATAACTAGATTTTGTTTCATCCAGATTTGTGTAATCTTAATGAAATAACTATCCAGTCATTTTCTTTTGGCCATAGTATGTATCAGTGTACCCACTTGGATTTTATTGAGAATTAAGAAGGATATTATTAACACATTAAATTTTGATGAGTTTAAATTTTGTTTGTCTAATTACAGACTAACTGGATCTTCTGGATTTATAACAGATGGACCTGGAAATTATAAATATAAAACAAAATGCACATGGCTCATTGAAGGACAGTAAGTAATAATGACTTTTTTTTTCTTTTTTAAGATAGAGCTCATTGTGAGATTACTTATCCAGCAAGTAAAATTAACAATCTATATCAACTTAAATTATTTTTTACTTGATAAACTTTTCTTTCACAAGTGAATTTGATTAACTGAAGCTCCACTACTTTGGCCACCTGATGTGAAGAGCCAGCTCATTGGAAAAGACCCTGATGCTGGGAAAGATTGAAGGCAAAATGAGAAGGGGGCAGCAAAGGATGAGATGGTTAGAAAGCATCACTGACTTGCGTGCTCAGTCACTTCAGTTGTGTCTGACTCTCTGCGACCCCATGGACTATGGCCTGCCAGGCTCCTCTGTCCATGGGATTCTCCAAGCAGGAATACTGGAGTGGGTTGCTGTTTCCTTCTCCATCACCGACTTATTAGACATGAATTTGAGCAAACTCTGGGAGATAGTGGAGGACAGAGGAGCCTGGTGTGCTTCAGTCCATTAGGTCACAGAGTCAGACATGACTTAGTGACTGAACAACAACAACAACAAATTTTTTTTCTTAATCTTCAGTGTTAATTTTAAAATTTGTGTTGATTTTCAGATGAATTGTACATACCAGAAATTTGTATATTTTTTATTGTAATAGTTAGAAAACAGAATATTTTATTATGGTTGAGGTATGTAAAGAAAATTTCACTTGAATAGGTAGCAGGGAAGGCAGGAGATTTTGATAGCCCTTTTTATTTGTTTGTTGGTTAGCTTATTTATTTATTATTATTTTTAGTGATTTAATATATAGAAGTTTATTTCTTGCTAACCTAACAGTTCCAGGGCAGGTGTTACTGGTCAGTAGGTACCTTTCTTTCCATTAGTAGTAGGACCCATGCTTTCCTTTTCATTTTCAACTCTACAGTTATTGTAAGAACCACCAACCATCCTCTTTCTTCCTGGGCCACTGTAAAAGCCTTGAAATTGGCCTCCAGCTCCAGTTTTTACCTTTGTCCCTTGTGCACTTCTCACTCACTTCTTATCTCATGTGACTTCTTCTGTTTGCTGTGTTTCACACATGCTGATTTTCTTCATGTTGCTTGAACACATCAACTTCTTAAGTCTAAGACTTTAAGATTGTTGTTCTCTCTGAAACATTTTCTCTTCCAACTTTTCGCATGGCTTACCTCTCACCATTTAAATCTTTTCAAAAACTTTCTGGGGTATTTCCCCACCGCTTGTTGTACTACTGTTAATACATCACATTCCTTTAATTTCTTTGCAGTATTCATCACCATGTGAGTTAACTTGTTTATGTATTTATTTAGATGTTTGGTTAGGGATATTAGTTAGACACAAAATATGAGGTAGACAAAAGATTCAGGCTGGAGACTTACAGTTAGAAATCACCAAGATATAAATGGTGTTGATAGTCCAAGAACTTTTTGAGTAGAGTGTTTGTGCTAAAGCCAGGTTGGAGAATGAAGAGTAGGATGTGAAGAATTTGAAAAAAGCAAAGTCTTCTGTGGCGTTTCAGAGGAGAAAGGGACAGGTGTATTAGTAGCTGGAAGGAGAGTTGGGATTTGAAGTTTTTTTGTTTTGTTGTTTTTAGTAAAATATGTGATACTTAAAGAGTACTTAAAGTGTGGGTGTGGAAGTTTCAGAAGAGAGGGAGATCTTAAATATTTCAGAGATAGAAGGAAAAGTAGATAGGTGTGTATCTATTTTGGAAAACAGGAATTTGAGAAAATTTTGTCTGGATGCTGAGCATAAGCAGGTAGATGAGACTGAGTGGTTTGAAATAGTCCTTAAAAGTTAGTTAGGACTGCTGGCAGAATCAGAGCACCAGTACTGGAACCAGCCTACCCAGTGTTGTGACTTTTTCCAGCATGGCTTTGTTTTCTCCAGATTCAGTCTAGGTCAAAGCAGATTGGGGATTTTTCTAGGGAGTTCCATGAAAAGGCAGAGGGGCAGGTGAGTTTAGAGGATTGGCAGGTATGTTTGTGAAATGAGGTAGTATGGAGTCTTAAGTTGAATAAGAAGGGCTAATAGATTGGTAAAGAATTGTGACTGTATAGACTGTAAGGTCCAAGATGCATAGACCATGTATATTTTGTTTACCATTGCATGTTTGGTGATCTTTTGCACATAGAAAGTACTAAGGAAATCTTTGACAAGTGAAGGAGTGCTGATTTTGTACTATTAATTTCTTTTCTCTATAGATTCTTAAAATGTTTTTTTGCAAATGTTTGGGAATGATGATGATTAGTATAAATTACTTTTTTCTCTTCTTTTCAGGCCAAATAGAATAATGAGACTTCGTTTCAATCATTTTGCTACAGAGTGTAGTTGGGACCATTTATATGTTTATGACGGGGACTCAATTTATGCACCGCTAGTTGCTGCCTTTAGGTAAGCTAAGTCATATAAATACTGGTTAACCATTATTTGTTTTCTGAATTCATTTATCACCTAGACTGTATTCTTAGTGGATTCACCTTTTTATCACTTAAAACATTTTCATGGAAAGAGTACTAGTCCTATCAGTTGTGTGCTAGTCCTGACTTTGCTGCCTGTAACTACTGGGTAACTTTTGGGGGCAGAATACTCTTTTTAGTTTCCTGATCTAAAAAATTGTGATAGTAGTATCAAGTTTACCTACTTCTTATGGTGGTGGTGAAGTATACATCTGAAAATGTTTTGTAATATATTGACTAATAATATTTCTGTTAAAAAATTAAATCAGGAATCATGTTCATTTTGATCCTTGTTGTGTTCCTCATTGCATAGGCATTCAGGAATTATTTGTTGTATTCATATGTAGTTGTGTGTATGTGTGATGTATAATTATGTAAATACCTTAATATTGGGGAGGAAAAAGTTTTGGAAGGATGTACATAAATGAGCAGTGGTTATCTGTGGAGAATGAGAAACATTCCAGTTATGTGTTGTGATTTTTTTTCAAAAAGCATATTCTGTGTTTGTAGTTAAACAGTTTTAACACCAAATACATGGGGTATTTTGAATTGTTTTGGCATTTTACTTTTTACTAACAGTCAATAGCCATGTTATTTATCGTATTTTTGGTTACATGTGAATTCAAAACTGTTCTAGTTTTCTTCCTTTTACTCTACAGAGGATTTTTAAAATATGTTTTCTGAAATGCATATCCTTAGAGAGTCATAGTTGTCAGTTTTTCATCTACAACTGACTTTCTGGATTTCTTCCTCTCAAATATTTTAGTTCTCTGACTTTAAATCAATTTAACAAATATTTTTTGTATTCCTCACATGGGACTGGTTGATGTCTCATGTGAGTGAGGAGATAACAGAGGCGAGAAGCCAAACATGAGAAGGCAAAGGACAGATGAGGTCAGAGGACTAATGTACCCTTGTATTTCTCCACTCTCTCTGGCTTAGAAATCTCTCCAATATATCTTTGAACTGAGAACCAAGGTCATTTTCTGGGTTTCAGAGATTCACTTAGAGGACCAAAGAACAGGGTGGACAGGCTATGCTAGTAAGCGTTAAAATATTGGCCACTTAAAAGGAAACTATAAGCAAGGTGAAAAGACAACCTTCAGAATGGGAGAAAATAATAGCAAACAAAGAGACAGACAAAGGATTAATCTCAAAAATATACAAGCAACTCCTGCAGCTCAATTGCACAACAAAGGAAATTATAAGCAAGGTATAATATTGGCCACATGTTGGACATATCTATCTTTATCCCAGAATTTGACTCATACCTTGTCTTATAGCAAGAAACACACCAAACTTTAACACAGGCACAAAAACTATTATATCTTTAGTATGATGCTCTCATGATAATAGTATATGTTGAACATGTTGAAGGTTCACTTGTTAACTGCATTTGTTAATTAAAATTCATGGAGTCCCTTCTGTGTGCCAGGTGCTTTGAATGAGCTTGCCAGTAGCTCTGTGGGAACATCTGCCAAGTGGGTATGCATAACCATATAGTTCACCTGACTGTGTATTTAATGAGCAGACATGTGAACCCGTAGCAGCAACAAATAAGCAGAAGTATAGGGTATATACTTATATATACTATATATATATAGGAGATATATATATATATTAAAAAAACAGGGTATAACTGTTTTAGTCATTGACTTTTGAGAGAAGCCAAAGTAAATATACAGACAACAGGAGGATTTTTATATATTTTTTCTATTAAAAAATAGTTTATTTACTGATAGGTATAAATTAATAATTGATTGTGTTAAAAATTTAACTTATGACATATTTGAGTGTGCATCTTCTAAAATCATAGTGAGACAATGTATGTTTAATAGTTGAAATTTCCCTGAAACACAGAACCCTTGAAGCACTGACATACCAAAGAGTGTGAAAATAACTTTTAGTCATAAGACACTTTCACAAAGATGGGGTGCTGAGGAGTACCGCTGGGTCAGGAGGACTTTGGGTAGCGGAATCAAACCAGTGTAATGTGCTGTGGGTCCAGAGTAGAGTGAGCTTGGCGGCAGATTGTTCAGCCAAATAAAGAAAATGAGAGCCACACAGGATTCAGAAGATGTGGACTTCTAATCTGAATCCTGCCCAGGTCTCTTCTCTTAAGTGCTCTGCTCCTCAGCTTCTGAAGCCTAAACTGAAGGTGTTGTACTGTGTTTTCCCTGGGTGTATTGCAAACCATCAGGTTTAGTTGGATACTGAACTGGTTGATCACATTTATCTTTTATATGTTGAAGTTCTGAATAAAGTTTATTTAACAAACAGAGTTCCACTACTTGGCAAATTTGAGAACCACTGGAGCAACTCTCTTCCAGTTGTACAACATTATGATTTTGTGGTGCATTCACTTCAGCAAATGTGTAAGTGTAGCGCCTGTGTGGAACACCTGCCGGCTCTGCTCATATCTTTTGGGAGGGAGACGCAGAGGTTGGTCGCAGATTGGACGCAGCAGGGAGAATAGTTCTCCTCCCTGAGAACATTCTTATTCCTTTTAGAAGTTTTTGTTGTTGTTTTTAAGAAAATCAAATATTGATGAGGCAGTTGTTTAAACTGTGATGAAGAGCTGTTAGAGGAAGTCTTGTGAAAGCAGGAGTCAGTCTTTGTGTCCAACACCATGTTGAAATCATGGTCAGACTGTGGCAAGTCAAACCTCTTTTGTGATTGTAGATCCTCTTTCACCAGTCGGAAGTATAGATGTTGTCTGGCCTCATCCCCTGGCTCCTATCCCTGACTTTAAGAATCTGGCTTACCTTCCACATCTGCCTATCCTTGAGTGTAGTGTTTTACAAGCAGATGGGTGTGTCAGACTGAGGGTTACTGGGACTTCCCTAGGGGTCCAGTGGTTAAGAATCTGCCGTCCAATGCAGGGGTTTGATCCCTGGTCAGGAAACTAAGATCTCACATGCCTCGGGGCAGCTAAGCCTGCACACCACAACTAGAAAGAAGCCCATGTGCCGCAACAAAGAGCCCAAGTGCAGCAACTAAGACCTGACACAGCCAAAAATAAATAAATTAATAAATATTTTTAAAAAAAAAAAAGCAACTGAGGATTACTAGTAAACTTACACAGTGTAGTTGGCAAAGTCAGGTTGTGCCCCAGGTGTGTTTAAAGAGTCTATGTCTGTCTGGCACAGTTAAGTTGAATTAAGACAGTATTTTGAGTTCAGCGATTTTCAAAAATGGTTCTGAACAGTGATACTCCGTGTTTAAAATATAAGATTATGAAGAACCCCAGGGCAAGCAGTTCTTGATACTCAAGTTGAACTGCTGGCTGCAGCCTAAGCTGAGTCTGCATTTATTCACCTGCCTAGGGGCAGGGGACAAGGAGGTGGAGGCAGCTCTGGGTCACAGTTGAATGGCCCACCCGCATCATCACTTTCTCACCCACACACTTTCTATTGCCTTGCACACTGGGTTGATGTTTGTATTCATTTTTTTCTTAAAAGTTTATATTTGTCATGAAAGTGAAAGTTGCTCAGTCGTGTCCAATTCTTTGCTGTATAGTCCATGGAATTCTCCAGGCCATAATACTGGAGTGGGTAGCCTTTCCCTTCTCCAGGGGATTTTCCCAACCCAGAGATCGAACCCAGGTCTCCTGCATTGCAGGTGGATTCTTTACCAGCTGAGCCACAGGGAAGCCCAAGAATACTGGAGTGGGTAGCCTATCCCTTCTCCAGGAGATCTTCCTGACCCAGGAATCAAACTGGGGTCTCCTGCATTGCAGGCGGATTCTTTACCAACTGAGCTAACAGGGAAGCCCCTATTTTTTTTTTGTCATAAACCAATTTTATTTTCACACTGGGAGAAAGCCCATTCCGAAACTGTCACAGTTTCAAGTTGTTGAAGTGAAAAGAAGCAAATGCCTGAGTCTCTCTGACAGTAGGGAAGCTGATCCTGTTCAGCAATGTGGTCATCTAGTCCCTCTCCTTCTGTGGCTCTCCATCCTTTCTCCCGCCACCCATTCAGTCATTCATTCTATACATGTCCCCACCATATAAATAATAAGTACTAGAAGCCATCTCTTACTGGGCATTTACTAGTGTGAGACGCTATTTAAATGCTTCACTTGCTTTAACAGTTTGATTCTCATTACTTGGTCGTGAAGTAGATAGAATTTCCTTCATTGTGCTTTTGAGGAAGCTAAGGCTCAGAGATGTTAATAACATGCTTAGGCTTTTGGAACAAGATTCGGAGTTCACATCTCTATGATCTTAAAATTCATGCTAGAATAACAGAGAGTGTCCAACTTGTGACCGAAGTCCCCAGTCTTTTCTTGTGCCAGTGTTTGTTATGCCAACGTTGCTTTTGACTTGCCTTTTTCTGGGTGACCCTACTCTTTCAAGTACTTATCCCTCAGTGTTTTAGAGTTCTGCTGTATAAAACTGATGAAAGCATGGTGATGGTTGAAACCTTCATTTAGGTCTGTAATCAAATGTCAGTTCTTCCAAGAGTCCTTCCCTAAATGCCCTTTCTAAAGTAGCACTTTCTGTTCTTTTACTGTTTTATTTCTGTTTATAGCCTTTACTTCTGCCTGACATTACATATACACACCTGTGGGCCAGGCGTAGGGGACTGATTATCTAGGCTTATTTATTCTTTCTCTGAGAGGTGAGCTCCAGTAAGGGCAGAGGCGTCTTTACTGTACCTACAACAGTGGCTTACTTGTAGTAAGTACTTAGTATTTGTCAGTTGAATACATAGTAGAGAATGTTTCACTATTTTGCAACCCAAAGACCTTGATGCTGGGAGGGATTGGGGGCAGGAGGAGAAGGGGATGACAGAGGATGAGATGGCTAGATGGCATCACTGACTCGATGGACATGAGTTTGAGTAAACTCTGGGAGTTGGTGATGGACAGGGAGGCCTGACATGCTACGATTCATGGGGTCACAAAGAGTTGGACACGACTGAGCGACTGAACTGAACTGAGAGCACCTTCAGGGTCATTGGGTTCCTAGAATTCTGCCTTCATATTAAAAACTTGTTGGATGAACGTCCTGTCGCTTCTTCCTCCTCACACCCTGCCTGTAAGCTCTTCCACTCATTTTTATATGCACTTATATAAATACACATAAATGTACACATACACTAGGCCTATTGTCTTAATGCTGGTTTTTTTTCCTTCTCATCAGAATGGCTCGATGAGTGCCCTGTTAGTCCTAGAGACCTCCATGTATGTAATGACTCATTCATCCAGCTCCCGAATGACCATTTTTGTGGTTTCAACCTGTTCTCATTCTGAATAGTGCTATAGTGAGGATTCTTATATATTTGTCTGTGTGTATATGAGCAAGTGTTTCTTCTACTAAGAAATAGAATTGTTAGGTCATAATGAATGAGTGTTTAAGACAATCGTAGGCCCCAAAATGTGTGCCCTAGGAAAGAAGAGAAGCCAGCGTGTCTGGGGTCGAGCGAGTGAAAGGAAGAAAGTACAGATCTTCTTTAGCTTATGATGAGATTATATCCTGATAAACCCATCATAGACTGAAAATATTTTAATACATATAATATACCTCACCTACTGAACAACATAGCTTAGCCTCGCCCACTTTAAATGTGCTAAGAACACTTACATTAGCCTGTAGTTGGGAAAGTCATCTAACACAAAGCCTATTTTATAATTAATGTTGACTATCTCATGTAATTCATTGATACTGTATTGAAAGTGAAAAGCAGAATGGTTGTCTGGGCACAGAGTAATTGTACATGGTTATTTACCCTTGTGATCATGTGGCTGACTGAGGGCTGCAGCTCTGTGCCTGTGCCTAGCATCATGAGAGAGCATCATACAGCATATCACTAGCCTGGGAGAAAGTAAAAATTCGAAATTCTAAGTACAGTTTCAACTGAAAATGAGTACCTTTTGTACCATTGTAAGTCAAAAAATTATAGTCAAAAGCTTTTAAATGGAACCATCCTTAAGTTGGGGACCATCTGTAATAGATGAGATGTTTGTTCATGGGATGGGGTTATGTGTGGAACAGATTACACAGGGCCTGATAATGAATTAGGCTTTTTCTGAATGAAATTATGGTGGTACTGAACAATAACTTGGCAAAAGATATTAGCATGTGAAGAAGAGCAAAAGATGGAAAGTAAACATAGGAAAACTCAAACTCAGGAGCATAAGAGAAGCTCAAAACCGTAGTTGAAAAGATCACTTTCATGTATTAAATTAGCCAAGCTAAAATAGGACAGATAATCCTCCTTGTTGTTAGGATGAGGTGTCTTGGTGGGATTTCAAGTCAGCATCTCTCTTCTGGAAAGCAAGTTGGTATATTGATTGAGAGCCTTAAAACCATCATATAGACCCTTGGACTCAGTAGTTCTTTCTCTTTACAAAGACTCAACAGATACTATTGTGTGCTGAGCTCTGAGTAAGGTTCTAAAAGCTCTGAGGGCTTTAGAGACATAGAAAGACTGTGGACTGTTACTTAGAAAAATAGAATATAAGGTGTAGTATGGCATCAGTTAGGCAAATAAAATACATCAGAATGCTAATAGTATTGAGATTATGGGTGTTTGTGTATCAGACTTTTATTTCTATTTTTACTTTGCACACCTTTCGTGGTGTATGTTTGGTATCCTTCAGCTAATAAAGTTTGTTACATTCTGTGATTGTAGAGGTTTACTCAGTTTTTCTGAGGAATATTATAAAAAAATTCTACTAAAAAAAAGAATAGGGTCACTGATTTCAAATCTCATTAGAAATAAACCCTAGAATAGAGGAGAGCCTAGCAAAACATTCAGATCTGTTCCTGTGCATTTATCATAGGAATTTACCTTTCTTCCTAGAAGTGACTTTTCAAATTATAAGAGTGAAATCCAGTTGAATTTGTGTCTATCACCATATGATGTGTCTCTTCTTGTGCTTCCCTTTATAAGACATGTGTTTTCATTTCAGCGGCCTCATTGTTCCTGAGAGAGACGGCAATGAGACTGTCCCAGAGGTTGTTGCTACATCAGGTTATGCCCTGCTGCATTTTTTTAGTGATGCTGCTTATAACTTGACTGGATTTAATATCACTTACAAGTAAGATATTTAAGTTTAATATTTGTGATTTTTTTCAGAAGACTGTATACTTTAACAATAATAATGACTAAACATATATTGAAGGTTTATAGTATGCCAGGCATTGTGCTAGCGGTTTGCATGAATTTCCTCATTTAAAGTTCTTTTAAAAACTCGGATACCAAAAAAAAAAAAAACCAAAACCCAGATACAGGCACTGTTTCTCTACTTCTTTTATAAATGAAGAAACTGGCAAGAAAAGGTAAATTGTCAAAGTTGTGGGACTGCAGTTGCAACCAGGTCTTGCTGCTGTTGAGTTTTTCCTGAAAAAGAGGGGCATCATCCATTCCCACTAATGGATAAAAACATTAGAAGAGTTGGCTAAGTGCAATTTAACAAACATTAGTAGTTTTCATGTACTAAGAGGTTGGTCATTGATGACAAAGGAAATGTAGACTACAGACTCTGAGCAGCTTTTGGAATTTGTTGTGGTAGGAGAGAGGCTTACTCTGTCTTTTCCTTATTTTCCTTCTAATGTTTATTTTCATAAAATTCCATAAGCAGTGGGGTCTGTGATAAGAATTTCTGTGACCCACAAAACCTAAAATACATATTATTTGGCCTTTTACATAATATATTTGACAATTCCTGGTATAGCTAGTGACCCCCCTGGTATAGCATAGTGACTTTTATGCTAGGTTGTTTTTCTTGCACATTTTCTCAGGATCTCAGTAAACTTTCAAGACTGTTTAAAGCTGTCCTTATCTTGATTAGTATGGTGATTCAGTTTTTTAGGTATCCAAGGTTTGTGACTTGGCAATCTGGGCAGCTCATCACAAGCTTGGGCCTGAAAAGTAGGCATGTGCGTTTATTGTGTTAAATTAAACATAGATTATGAAAAAACTGAATGCAAACACTTTCAAAATTTTATTATCGATGTATCATGAACTGACATTTGGGTGTAGGCATGAATGTTACACCCAGACAGTTAAGAATCTGCCCGTATTGCTGGAGACCCGGGTTCAATCCCTGGGTCGGGAAGATCCCCTGGAGAAGGGAATGGCAATCACTCCAGTATTCTTGCCTTTCACTTTCAACTTTACACTCTTATAGTATCTTCTAATCCTGTTATCTCCCCTTTTTAAAATCTGAATTATGTCTTTTCAAAGTATTGTCAATATAATTAAGTCACATTACTATGCAACACTTTATGATTAAACTCATGTATTAAGTTAAACTGCTCTTCTCTTTTCTCCCATCTGAGATAGGTAGGTAAGCTTATTAAGAAATTTACAATACACCAATCTGTGCAATAATCTTAAACAAATTCTGTAAACTTTCAGAGACAATCCAGAGGAATGAGGATGGTAGTGTATTGTTGTTAGTTTGTTTTTTCCTTTTCTTGTCCAGACTTGTAAGCATGCATTTGGCAGTTTTATAATGCTCATCATTTGTGGGCTAATTTGTCTCTTTTTATGAGAATCCAACAGGTTTAATTTTATTTTATTACTTGCCTAGCTCTGCAGGGTTGAGTGACCCCATTTAGGCTGAATGGTAAGTACTGCAATTGTACTTGTGAAGTGGCTAGATAGTGAGATTTCTTAAGCCTTATGTAGGAGGAAGTTCTGCTAAATTAATCAGAGTGTTGCTTTGTATTGATTTAATTTCCCTCCACTATTTTTATAGTTTTGACATGTGTCCGAATAATTGCTCAGGCCGAGGAGAGTGTAAGATCAGTAATAGCAGCAACACTGTTCAATGTGAATGTTCTGAAAACTGGAAGGGTGAAGCATGTGACATTCCTCACTGTGTAAATAACTGTGGTTTTCCTCATCGAGGCATCTGCAATTCAAGTGATGTCAGAGGATGCTCCTGCTTCTCAGAGTGGCAGGGTAGGAATGTTTTTCTTTCTTTTTTTTCTTTTAATTCACAGAATGTTTCTAGCTTAATAAATCGTAGATTCACTTTGTTCCTAGTATCTGTAACATTTATATTAATCATATATCAGGAGGCATTTAAATTTTCATATCTCTTTATTCAACTTCTTACAAATCTTTGAATTTTATAAATGTATGGTTGTGGTCTCAGTTTTGAAACACTTTAATATTCTTCACAGTTCATTCATGAATTTAGAGAACTTGGTCTCAGCCATAAGACATAGCAGAGACCCAAGCCGAGATGTGGGACAAGAGCTGACAATAATGGTTTCTCCACAGAATCTTTCAATAAATTCACAGGAAGTTGGAGTTTATTATGCAATAGAATCCTAAAGCAGTCAGTTAGTACAGATAAAGATTATTAAACAACCCCTTTAGCAAATTCTTCAAGGGGTAGGTGATTAACAGCTGTTACTGATTTAGTTATTTTTTATACATTTACTTCTTTCTCAGAACACTTTTATTTTGAATTTCCAGAAATATGCTTGTTTAAATGCTTTAGCTTATTCAGTTTGGCTTACGTTGAGGAGTTAAACAATTGAAGTATTTGACTAACTTCCAGTTTACTGGAGCAGAAGCCAAACCTCTCAGAAATGGAGTTTCTTGATTTTCCAGGAAATGGATAGTTTATAACACATCCAGGACTAGTGTTTACATTTTAGCTCTATAGGGATTTTCATTTGAATTAATAATTCCTTTGTCCACTCTTTCCTCTGAGAGCTGCTTAGCAAGTATTTCATTACTAAAAAATCCTAACCTGGATATGGTCAGGTCTTCAGTAGAAAGTGTGTGATTTTAAATTTTATTAGAGATTATCCTTGGTCACTAGCTTTGAGTAAATTGAAAGTGCAAATTAAAGGGATTTGTCTGATATTTAGATGCTAAAGGAAAGACTATAAGCATTCTTTAGATATTTGTTGTATTTGGATGATTAAAACTTGAAATGCAATAATTTTCTATTTTTGGCCATGCTGCACAGCATGTGGGATTTTAGTTCCCTAACCTGTGCCCGCTGCAGTGGAAGGGTGGAGCCCTAACATCAGGACCACCAGGGAATTCACGAAATGCAGTAATTTGAAAGCTGCACTTTGTAAAGCTAATTTGTTTTGTTTTGTTAGGTCCTGGATGTTCAGTTCCTGTACCAGCTAACCAGTCATTTTGGACACGAGAGGAATATTCTGACCTAAAGCTCCCCAGAGCCTCTCATAAAGCTGTGGTCAATGGAAATATAATGTGGGTTGTTGGCGGATATATGTTCAACCACTCAGATTACAACATGGTTCTAGCGTAAGTTGTTTTAAACATTTTTATAAGAAGCTTAGGTTTTCCATTTTGAAGATAGTTAAAATAGAGATAAGTAAAAAGAAATCATCAGTAATTGCATTCCTGAAGAAAATCTCTGTTAGTATTTTGGCAGTTGTATTCTAGACTTTTGGGGACATATTCTTAGTTTTTGAAAAAGGAAGTCCAAAAGAATTCATTGTTGTAGTGAGGAATAATTCATCTTTTCCATACATTGTCTCAAAATTTGCTTCAGATATATGTAGTAAATTCTTGATAAGTAAGGGATTGCTTTACCTTTTAATTTAATTAGCATTTCTGTAGGTTAAGTGACATAAATTTGTAATTTACTAGGGGGAAATTATGTCATTCTCTAATATTTCCCAGGGTTCAAGGTCTGTATGCTGGTTCCATGCTGCTCATCCTGAAAGGAGAATATATTTCCATAATGGAATTAACTATGGAGATTGACTTTGAGTAGAAATTTATAAATACTTGTGTTGATTTTGCACCCTGGAAACTTTTCCTAAACATTTTCTGCTAATGAATGTTGTAAAAAATCAGCATCTATTCATTAAGGAATTCTGGAAATATGACAGTGGTAGTATAGCTTCTGAATCCCCCAAACATAGTCATTAAAAATTAAAACATAGAGGGCTTCCCTGATAGCTCAGTGGTGAAGAAACCACCTGCCAATGCAGGAGACATGGGTTCAATCCCTGATCCAGGAAGATCCCACATGCCACAGAACAGCTAAGCCTGTGTGCCACAACTACTGAGCCTGTGCTCTATAGTTGTGGAACCCAGGAGCCACAACTACTGAAGTTTGCACGCCCTAGAGACTGTGCTCTGCCAAAAGAGAAGCCTCTGCAATGAGAAGCCCATGCACTGCAAGTAAAAAATAGCCCCCATTCTCCACGCTAGAGAGAAGCCTGTGCAGTAATGGAGACCCAGCACAGCCAAAAGTAAGTAAATGAATAAAATTTAAAAATTAAAACACAAAACAAGTAAGACACAGGGGCAGCATCTATAACAAACTTGGTCAAAAGGTATCTATCTACTCGAATGGGTGGAGTTAAACCATTGACAGCTATGAGACTAATGTGCTGTCAGTATCTTTGTAACAGTAAGCAGAGGGGAGCAGTGGGCCCACTAACAGTAAACCCAAAAACCCACTGGGAAACTCAGCAAGCTGCTTTGAAAACAACAACTGTAACTGGGAAGATTTTGCATATTCTAGTATGCAAAATCTAGATGAGTTCAAGGGATCTGTAGTAGGATCTGAAAAGGCTAAAGCGGATTCTGACTTATTAACTCTCAAAATGAACTAGTCAAAGACTCTTTGTAGGAAAAAGCCCCAAACTGAGGAAATGCTTCTGGAAATAAAATTCACATCAAACAGGACAGAGACAGCCTAGAAAAAGTTCAAAAACATCCAGATATCAGTCTGGGAAGGGAACAGAGTCAGGAGATCTCAGCAGGTACGGTGCAGGATAGTTGGACAGTACACTACAACAGAAGAGGAGCTAGTGAGCTGAGAAATTAAGAAAAACTAGCTAAGTAAAACTCCTCCTCTAAGAGTTCAGGAAAAAGTAATTTTACTTAAAGTTCAGCAACAGAAAAATATCAAGGTCAAATCTCATGGAAAGTTATTACAGAAAAGAAGAGACTAAGTAGGCTAACACCCCTTCAAACATATAAGTATAATAGAAAAATATATTCACAAAACTGATAAATATTATAACTTAGTATTCCAAAATAAGCTAAAATACAAGAAAAGTTTAAAAAAATTAAAGAACAATATAACCAGAACTAGAACATTTCAGAAAGGAGATGATAGAAATTAGGAAAGAATTTTAATTTCAGAATTAAAGACAAACTTAGATGGAACACACAGAGTAAACACAGCAGATAACACTTTGAGAAATAGAATATGAAAAAGGAAGTTTTTTAAAATCACAAATAAATGAAGGTTGTTTTGCCCTGTTCTTTGTATGGTGAGTACAATTAAAAGCCCTGACATTATATATAAAACAACATACAAAACAAACATAAGGAAACTCTGACGAAGGCAGTCTTACCCAAGAACCAAAGAATGACATAATGGTAAGTTCTGAGGATTTTACTTTTGTTTCTTATTTTCTCAGACTTGATGTTGAAAAAATCAGCAGTCTGGAAATATTAATAGGTACAAGCTGAAAAACCCCAAGAAAACCCCATTTTCTCTAGCATGAGGACCAGGAAAGGGGCAGGTTAACAAGACAGAAAACTTTTAGATAATAACCATTCTACCCTATCCAAACACTACAGAAAGAACTGTGGCCTCACCCACATCCCTGCCTGAAAAGTGCAAGTGTAGAGTCTAAATTTCCACTTAATGCTAGGAGATTGTGAGGTGCTCCAATCACCCCCTTCCATCCTACCAAGGTAGGGTTAAAGAAGTCCAGTTAGAGAGCTGGGACCTTCTGCACCAGGCATTAATGAGGTCTCCCTGACTCCTGTGACATCAGTGGAGTCACTGTGGGGGTTTCTACCCTGGCCTGGCAGCAATAGCAAGAATGAGTGGACCTTCTGTCTCTCCCCTGGGGTGGTGTCAGAGGAGCCCTGCTGTAACAGGAGATTTAAATAAGATCCAGAGTCTTATGTCATCATGCCCCAAATGTTCAGATTTCAGTTGAAAGTCATTTGACATGCTAAGAGCCAGGAAAATCTCAACTTGAATGAGAAAAGACAATCAAGAGACACTAATACCAAGGTGACATATATATTAGACTTATCTGACAAAGATTTTAAAGCAACCATTATAAAAAATGCTTCAGCAGTTCTCTCAGCAATAGAAAGGAGAGGACAGAGGAAAGAATCAATGAACTTGAAGGTAGAACAGTAGAAATTCCTTAATCTGAACAACACAGAGAAAATAGAACATTTTAAAAAATGAACAGAATTGCAGAGACCTGTGGATTGTAACAAAATATCTTAACATTTCTGTCACCAGGAGAGGAGGAGGAGAGGAAGGAACTGGGTGTGTCTGAAAAAGTATTTGAAGAAGTAGCAGTTGCCCAAGTTTGGCAAAAGATATGAATGTACAGATGGAGAAGGAAATGGCAACCCACTCCAGTATTCTTACCTAGAACACTCCTTGGACAGAGGAGCCTGGCGGGCTACAGTCCATGGGGTCGCAAAGAGTCGGCTATGACTGAGCGACTAAGCACGTGAATGTACAGATTCAAGAGACTGGGTAAATGCCAATAATCCCTGACTCCTATAGGAGTTTATGCTTCATTAATTCTTTCACATTCCCTGTCTCATTCTCCTGCTCAGCTGTCATTATCTTTTCATTTTTTAGATCCCTACCACATTTTCTCCTATTTTCCTTCTGAGCTAGTGGCCTTGTTTCCCATTTCAGCTTTGAAAGATAAAGATTACCTTACTGGTTTATATTGTTCAGTTGTCCCTCTCCCCTTTTGGTCATCCTCAGCTTTATCTCTCCTTGTGATATCTATGAATACATTCCATGCTATTTTTTTTAATGATTATTGTTTGTTGTTGTTTAGTCACTAAGTCATGTTTGACTCTTTGCAACCTCGTGGACTCTAGCATGCAAGGTTCCTCTGTCCTCCACTATCTCCTGGAGTTTACTCAAATTCATGTCCATTGAGTCAGTGATGCTATCTAACCATCTCATCCTCTGCTGCCCCCTTCTTCATTTGCCTTCAATCTTTCCCAGCTTCAGGACCTTTTCGAGTGAGTCAGATCTTTGCATCAGATGGCCAAAGTATTGGAGCTTCAACTTCAGTATCAGTCCTTCCAATGAATATCCATAGTTGATTTCCTTACGGAAGGAGGTTTGTAACATTGTACAGGAGGCAGTGACCAAAATCACACCAAAGAAAAAGAAATGCAAGAAGGCAAAGTGGTTGTCTGAGGAAGCTTTACAAATAGCTGAGAAAAGAAGAGTAGCGAAAGGCAAGGGAGAATGGGAAATATACACCCAACTGAATGTAGAGTTCCAGAGAATACCAAAGAGAGATAAGAAGGCCTTCTTAAATGAACAATGCAAAGAATAGAGGAAAACAATAGAATGGAAAAGACCAGAGTTCTCTTTAAGAAAATTGGAGATATCAAGGGGACATTTCATGCAAGGATGGGCACAATAAAGGACAGAAATGGTATGGACCTGACAGAAGCAGAAGTGATTAAGAAGAGGTGGCAAGAATACAGAGAACTGTATAAGAAAGGTCTTAATGAGCTGGATAATCATGATGGTGTGGTCACTCACCTAGAGCTGGACATCTTAGAGTGTGAAGTCAAGGGAACCTTAGGAAGCATTATTAAAAAAAAAAAAAAAAAAAAAGCTAGTGGAGGTGATGGAATTCCAGTTTAGCTATTTAAAATCCTAAAAGATGATGCTGTTAAAGTGCTGCACTCAATTTGTCAGGAAATTTGGAAAATTCAGCAGTGACCATAGGACTGGAAAAGGTCAGTTTTCATTCTAATCCCAAAGAAAGGCAATGCCAAAGAATGTTCAAACTATCATACACTTATGCTCATTTCACATGCTTGCAAGGTTAGGCTCAAAATTCTTCAAGCTAGGCATCAGCAATGTGTGAACCAAGAACTTCAGATGAACTAGGTGAGTTTCAGAAAGGCAGGGGAACCAGAGATCAAATTGCTAACATTTGTTGGATCATAGAGAAAGCAAGGGAATTCCAGAAAAAATTTAAGGAATTTATACTGTTCTACCTTCACTTCTTCTGCTTCATTGACTATGCTAACACCTTTGACTATGAATCACAACAAATTGTGAAAAATTCTTAGAAAGAGATGAGCGTTCCAGACCACCTTACCTGTCACCTGAGAAACCTGTATGTGGGTCAAGAAGCAACAGTTAGAACCATACGTGGAACAACTGACTGGTTCAAAATTGGGAAAGGAGTATGACAAGGCTGTATATTGTCATCCTGTTTATTTAACTTCTGTGCAGAGTACATCATGTGAAATCCTGG